CAATTTTAGTTTCAATCCCTCGGTGCAATTTTTTCGCCAAAATTTCTCGCCATTTCTCGTACTGTTTATAGCGAACAGAGAGAGAGAGAGAGAGAGAGAAAGAGAGAATCGTCCCTTCATCGAACCGGCCGACTGTGGCCTCGTTAAACTGTTTTTCCCTCCGTGAGAAGAAACGAGACGGCCAGTCAACTTAGAGAAACTTTTTAATTCTCGTCCGGTTGTTGCACGCTTTATTCCGCCTAAAAATAGCCAGCCGTTCAACAGGCGTGGAGATAAAAGGAGAGGCATCATCGTTGGCCACCGTGATTCCATGGTCGCCGACCAGCCGCGATGGAAACACACCGCTCGTGCCGTGATCCTCCCTTTTCATTGTTTCTCTTACCGTAATTTATGGTTACCATTATTCTTAGTCGTGCTCGGCCCGACACTCGAATCCGCTTCTGATCGGTTCGACGAACTCGAAACAACGTTCTCCACGATTTATCGGGAATACGATGAATATTCACGGTTTTTCACGGTTTGCTCGAGAATTTACCGAGACTATGGTGATCGTTCGAGAGATGGTAGAGCGTTCTTCCAAGGATTTTTCGAAGAAAATTTTTATCCACAGACGTTCTCGTGAAATCGATATAATTGATAACAGGTTCGATTGCTATTCAAGAGCTTCATGAATATTCGTTATAATCCGATAATCTTGTAACCGCTCGATGAACATCCGGATAAAAATTCGTAGCAACGGTAGGAGAGGCTTAATCGGAAACAGAGATAAAATTTTAACGATTGAAGTTAAGGAATAAAGTTATTCGAATAATTTATTATTCAACGCGCGGTTAATTGTAGCCACGAGTTACTATACGAAGAGCGATCAACCATCTTAGTAGCTACGAATAATGTTACCCGAGTTTATCTTGAAATAAAGTTATCATTCGAATTTCGTTCGAACTTTTTCTTTAGTTAGTCTTTCTTCTAGGTATTTAACCCTTTCGCTACGAGCGACTTCTCCGCCGCACCAAAAATGTGCACGGTGCTCGAAAAAGATTGTCATCAGTTACGTTTACGCCTCGCAATTCAAGTTGCTTTGACGGTGTTTATTGAAAAAAAATTGATGACAAAAAGAAAATATCGATGCTACGTTTCCACAGAAAGATACTCGATGCGCGATAACTCGAATCGCTCGTCATATCGTACGATATGTGGTATCTTATGCAGACTATAGTCGCCCGTAGTACCTCAGTGGTATTTTGTGTAAAGCGATTATAGTCATCTGTAGTGGTATTTTATCTCGGTGGCATCTTATGCGGAATATAGTCGCCTGTAATATTTCAGTGGTATCTTATGCAGACTATAGTCACTGTAGTACCTTAGTGGCATCTTATGCAGAGTAATTATAGTCGCCCGTAGTACTTCAGTGGCATTTTGTGTAAAACGACTATAATCGTCTGTAGTGGTATCTTATCTCAATGATATCTTATCTCTTATGCAGAGTATAGTCGCCTATAATATTTCAGTGATATCTTATGCGGACTATAGTCGCCCGTAGTACCTCAGTGGTATTTTGTGTAAAGCGATTATAGTCATCTGTAGTGGTATTTTATCTCGGTGGTATCTTATGCAGAATATAGTCGGAAACAGAGATAAAATTTTAACGATTGAAGTTAAGGAATAAAGTTATTCGAATAATTTATTATTCAACGCGCGGTTAATTGTAGCCACGAGTTACTATACGAAGAGCGATCAACCATCTTAGTAGCTACGAATAATGTTACCCGAGTTTATCTTGAAATAAAGTTATCATTCGAATTTCGTTCGAACTTTTTCTTTAGTTAGTCTTTCTTCTAGGTATTTAACCCTTTCGCTACGAGCGACTTCTCCGCCGCACCAAAAATGTGCACGGTGCTCGAAAAAGATTGTCATCAGTTACGTTTACGCCTCGCAATTCAAGTTGCTTTGACGGTGTTTATTGAAAAAAAATTGATGACAAAAAGAAAATATCGATGCTACGTTTCCACAGAAAGATACTCGATGCGCGATAACTCGAATCGCTCGTCATATCGTACGATATGTGGTATCTTATGCAGACTATAGTCGCCCGTAGTACCTCAGTGGTATTTTGTGTAAAGCGATTATAGTCATCTGTAGTGGTATTTTATCTCGGTGGCATCTTATGCGGAATATAGTCGCCTGTAATATTTCAGTGGTATCTTATGCAGACTATAGTCACTGTAGTACCTTAGTGGCATCTTATGCAGAGTAATTATAGTCGCCCGTAGTACTTCAGTGGCATTTTGTGTAAAACGACTATAATCGTCTGTAGTGGTATCTTATCTCAATGATATCTTATCTCTTATGCAGAGTATAGTCGCCTATAATATTTCAGTGATATCTTATGCAGACTATAGTCGCCCGTAGTACCTCAGTGGTATTTTGTGTAAAGCGATTATAGTCATCTATAGTGGTATTTTATCTCAGTGGCATCTTATGCGGAATATAGTCGTCTGTAATATTTCAGTGGTATCTTATGCAGACTATAGTCACTGTAGTACCTTAGTGGCATCTTATGCAGAGTAATTATAGTCTTATCTCTTATGCAGAATATAGTCGCCTATAATATTTCAGTGATATCTTATGCAGACTATAGTACTTCAATGGTATCTTATGCAGACCGACTGTAATTATTATGCAGACTATAATCGGTCGTAGTACCTCAGTGACGATCTTGTGCAAAGCCATTTAACTCTTGCGCCCAAAGGGTACCAAAAGGGTTAAAGTAACTCATTTTTCTCGGCGGATAATATAGAAGAACAACTCTGAACAATTCGTTCCGCGAATTCTTGCTCGTGAAAGTGTCGGATGAAGCGAAGTTCGGAAGCGATTAACCGATATTTGGAAAGGAATATGCGTCTTCCGATTATTTGGGCGCAGAATTTGTGGCGCGTGTCACCCCATAATCCGTATTAACGAGGTAGAATTTCTCCATAGGCTGGTGTTATCCGTGAAGTTTGCCGGCTGGTGGAACGAGATTAATCGCGCCTCGTAGAACTGGAATATTCACCCGGCGGATTTGCATGCGAAGCGGTTAGACTTGTATTACTTATTGCCAAGGTTAGTCGGATTCTCTATTCGTTCTTTTTCAGCCTCGGATGGATGGTCCTTCAAAATCGCGCCATTAATCGCGAATCGATTCACTTATCGTATCTCTCTAATTGTTATCGTCGATATTAATTTAACAATTCTGTCTTTCTATCTTCTCGGCTCTCTTTAAAAAACCTCCACTCGTGTTCCACTCGTGTTCGAATTCGATAATCCCCTCCTCTTTTTTTATTCATGCAACAGAAAGGAGTTTTTGCTTTAAACGATGGTGATTCGATCACGATTTCAGAAATAGAAAACTCTTCTGGAAAATCCTCGTCCAACTCCATCACGGATCCGGCTTGTTTAAGAGTGTTTTACGACAGGCTTTGGGCGGTTTTCGCTTCCACTATTTTATCTCTCGTCTCCCCGGGGAAGAAAGAAGAAAAGCGGTCCGCGTGGAAGGCCATTTGAAAGTCTTCTTCTTTTTTTTTTTTTTTCCCCTTCTCCACATCGAGTAGCGAGAAACGTAAAATTGAAATTGAAAAATTGAAAAAATTTGTTGGAGAAAAAAGGGGGCGAATGATGTATCGCGCGCGCGAGATCGATGCAACGAGCGGAGAATGCCTTGTTAGCCGCGATTCATTGCAATTATTCGGTTACTTCTGGATCGCCGGTTTAATTACTTCTCGATGCGTTTTAATGAAGTTAGTATCCTGCTCGTTATCCTGTCTAGAATCCCCGCGCAAATTGCAGGAATCGTGTTCCATGCAGGATGATAGCGGCTTCTCTTCGAAAAGTATCGAAACGAGATATTTTCCAACAACGGGGAACCGATAAACGCGATTCGACCATCGGTTCTCTCCTTTTAAAAATATCTCTCCCGGTTAATTGGCAACCTTTCAACCACCAACCGCGATTATATCTTACGCCTTTGTGCACCCGTCCCGCTCTTTTGTCTCCACCAAACGACACAGCTGGAACTTCGAAATACGTGCGCGTGTTAACCTTTTGCGCTCGTATTTATTTTTATCAATCAAGCAACAAGAATCCCTAGAATGTAATTATATTACACATATATTTATTATAATTATTACATTTAATGTAAATATAATAATAAAATGTATGCGACTACATACAGCGATGTACGAGTGCAGAGGATCAATATATCGTCTTCGAAGGATTGAAAGAAGAGAGAAGAAAAAACCGTTGATACCAAAAATTGCACGCATCGACTCCATAATAACAATCTTTAGTAGAGGGTAGTAATTTTTTAGAACTTAGCCCGTCGAGAGCTGACGACGAGTTGATCGCTCGAACAAAAGTACGATATCCGATATAACAACCTCCTCGAGATGTTAAAATCGGGGTGGAAAAACTGTGTGAAAGAAAAAAAGAAAAGCGAAAGAGAGAGGATTTGGAAAAGCGAGGCGGGAATGGGATACGACACAGGCCCAGCAGGCATCGCTAACACGTTTCTCCTTTCATTTTCAGCCGGTGCGGTAGTGATCGTGGCCTCGAAGCGAGTCCTTTTACGGCGGGGACGAGGATCGAAAGCGGAGGAGAGCAGCAGCCTCCCTCCCCTCTCTCTGTCTTTCTCTTTCTCTCCCCGATCCTCGACTTTGGCCCAGGGACGGGACGACCGCCAGAGAAGATCGCGAGAGCAAGGTGGAAGGAAAAGGAGGGAGAGAGAGAGAGAGAGAAAAGGAAGAAGAAGGAGGCGAGAGATCGAAAGCTAGACGTGTCGTCCAGGTACGCGGCATGGAGGGATAAAACGGTGGAAAGAATTGGAGAAGAAGAGAGAGGGAGAGAGGGAGGAGGAAAGAAGGACGGGGCGAATTCGGGATGAGGTAGAGGGGGGGAGGGAATTTTGAAGGGGGAAAGCGGCGTGGCACGGTTGGGAAGGGAAGAAGAGGAGGAATCGAAATCGTTGTAGAGGAGATTAACAGCGATTGACGATCGATCGATCGTGGAGGGAAGGTGGAGAAGGAGGGAAGCTAAATGCCAGTTAAAAGAAAGGCGAGGAAGGAGGGTTAGAGGTGGAAAAGTGGTCGCGATAGGAGGAGGGAGGCGGTGAGGAAGGAGAGGAATGGGTGCCGGGATGGGCAGGAGCGGCACGAGCGGCGGCTTCCTCGAGGCACTTCCCACGGGAACGCCGCTCCACGTGGCCATGCTAGGCCTCGACAGCGCGGGGAAAACCACCGCGTTGTATCGACTCAAGTTCGACCAATACCTGAACACAGTGCCCACTATTGGCTTCAACTGCGAGAGGATCCGTGGTGGCATCGGCAAAGCGAAAGGTAACGCGAAATTTTATCCGAATTGTAAAATATATTTGTAACCCTTTGCACTCGAGAGACGAGTCTCGGCCATCGTCTATTTATCATTGACTTTTTTTTTTTTTTCCCTAGCGTAGAATAATGCGATATCGAATAGCTAGATTTTCTTATTTCAAATCGTGATGTTTGAGTTTGAGTTTTGTATAGCATAGAAGAATGATCGGTTCGAGTTCGAATTCGAATCGAATTCCACTTTTATTCGTAAAGAAATTGATAGGATACAGAGAAGGAAAACGGCGATGAACACGTAATAAAAATAAGAATAATAAGACGGTGAATGTGAGAGCACGTTACGTTAACAGAAGTTAGGAAGGATTATAAAGTTTGCTCTCGACGAAGCAGGAAAGGTGAAAGACATCGAGCGACATTTCACTGCGACACTTGCCCCGACAAACCGAGGATGCGTCTTGGAGATATTTCATAAAATATCGCACAAAATCCAAACCATTAAATCGTTTAATGTTCAACGAAGTTTCTTTCTTTGTATGCAAAGATGCGTAGGATATTAAAATATAAAAGTTTATACGTGCGTGAAATTATTTTTAGTTAAAAAATTCATACGGCAAACCGTGTCGATTCGAGTGCAAAGGGTTAAAAATCATTTGTTTGTCACATGCTCTACGGAGATATATCGGATTGGCCGAGCGAGGATTGAAATTGTAGACGTATAATTAGATTTTTGGCGAAGAGGGACGCGATGAACCGCGTAATGGAAATGTCGTAACGATTACGCGGCCAGGATAACGTTTAAATGCGGGACGCGTTTATTATTACAGTTATCGCGTGCGCGTCAACGTAATAAGTCGATGTCTGTTTCCTCCTCGTGGCACGAGTAGGTCTGCTCGTCCCAGAAACCTGGTATAATACCGGTAATTGCGGCAAGAGATGAAAATCGCATCAAAGAATTTCCTCTTTCGTTTCGTTTTGCGTTTCGTATATCCGTTCCCGTATTCCAGAGAAAGTACTACACTTTTTTTTCTTCTTGGCAAAAAGAAATCACTACGATAGTTTCCCAAGTAGCAGGAAACCGTCCTGCGAGATCCATTTCCTCCAGATTAAAACAGGATGTGAAAGCGACTAGGACGCGCGTTATATTCGGGATAACAGGCAAAAAGAAAAAAAACGTCGCTTTCCAACCTCTCTCAATTATTTCGCGCAGCATTTTCTATCCGACGATCTATCTCTGCAGAGAATGAATTTTTCACATTCTTCTTTTTAAATCCATTACAATATTAATCCTTCCACGGTATTTCATAAATGAAATACTCGAAACACTTGAAAATTCCGATTGATTCTCTTCTAAAATTCTACGCGCAGATTCTCACGAACGATTTATCAATCTTCGTTCCTCTTCGATTCTCGTCTGGACGAAGAGGAAAAGAAAAAAAAAAAAAAGGAAAGAAAAACGACAAAGGAGGAAATATAAATAGATCGTCATGATGGTTTGTCACAGGTGTGAATTTTCTCGTATGGGACGTGGGCGGGCAAGAGAAATTACGACCATTGTGGAAGTCTTACACCAGATGCACCGATGGTATTATCTTCGTGGTCGACTCTTGCGACGCGGAACGGCTCGAGGAGGCCAAAATGGAGCTGACCAGAACGGCGAGGAGCCCGGATAACGCCGGTGTGCCCATTCTGATCCTAGCCAACAAGCAGGATCTGCCAGGTAACACAGTTTCGTGTGCATCGCGTTAACTTGGCGTTTCGCCCCGATTATATAAAGAGAACCGTGGCCTCTTTTCTAAACGAGATTGCTCGCGTTGACATAATTATATTGAACGTGTTCTTTTCTTTCTTTCTTTTTTTTTTCTTTTTTTTTTAAGAGAAATCGTAAACGATTCTGTTCTCGACTCGAATTCAAAATTTTCAAAATTCTTTAAACTTTAAAAGAACCGCGTAACGTTTCGATCCGACGGTGTTTTACGTATTCGTAAAAATAAATGTATCGATCATTTTCGAGCGTATAATGCGGGAAAACATCGGCGTTCGAACGGTATGGCTTCGCTACGAGTATAAACGCACTTGACCGCAATTTATAACGGAGCACGGTTAGATTAAAGATTAAACATCCTATATATATATACGAGCAGCATTTGACTTTATCCGACGTGTTATTTATTATTCTAATAAAAAAAAAATAAATAACGGACACAGTCGCATCATTCGCCAGATTACACGGGCTTCTCTCTCTCTCTCTCTCTCTACAATTTTATCGGCCTGTTATTGCGTAAGTAAATGCAAATCATCGTATAATAAAGCGTCTCCGCTTGAAATTGAACGGCACGACAAGATCGATACGAGAAAAAGTACGCGCTCCATCGACGATTTCGACCGGTTAACAATTTCCTTTCCGGATCTTAACCCTTTGCACTCGTGTTTATATTTAAGAAAATTACCAAATCAAATAATTTTGTAACAAGAGTCTCTTGAGAGAATGTAATCACATTATATATATATATATATAGAGTGCAAAGGGTCAGAAAAATATTCGTTGGATCGATAGCCTCGACGCAACCGCGAACAAACGAAGGAAGAAAAATCGATCCCTCGTCTATTCTTTTCTCTCACGGTTGAACCGATCGCGTTCCTCCACAGGTGCCAAGGAGGTGGGCGAGTTGGAGAAGCACCTTGGCGTCCTGGAATTGGCAGGGATGCCGGGGAGCGCGTGCATCAGAGTGCAACCGGCCTGCGCGATCACCGGCGAGGGGCTGCACGAGGGTTTGGACACGCTCTATCAGCTGATACTGAAGCGGCGCAAGCTCGCGAAGCTGAACAGGAAGCGGGCCAGGTAGGCCAGGGCCTCGGAGGACTGCACGTGCGTCTTCTGATTTTGTAAGTCGCGGACAGTCTCTCCTTCGGGCACAGCCACGCCTTCCACGGTGTCTTCTTCTTCTTCCTCCTCCTCCTCCTCCTCCTCCTCCTCCTCCTCCTCCTCCTCCTCCTCGCCTCCCCGTCGCGCTGCGACGCCGAGGTGCTCGAGTGAACAACGCATCAACGAACGTGGATTGGAGAAACGAGGATCGTTTCGATTCTTCTTGGAATCTTCTTCTGCGCGATTGTGCCGGTTCGCGCCCTCGTTTTCGAAACTGATCGGAAACTGGATGAGGAGAGGAATCCTGCCTCTCGATACGAGATCTCACCTCGTTCCAAGGATGCGCAAAGACGGAATGCCCTCCCTGGCTGGGAATTTCACACGAGCGAGGTTGTTCTCGCCTGGTTTATTTTTTAACCGCCGAAGTTTAACGGCGGTGAAACGAAGAGGAGGATACTGTTCTCTCCAGCGGGGAGGAGGGAAATGAATAATCTAGGAAAATTTTCTTTCGGATCGATCCACTCGCTGTATCGCGAGGGATGGTGAAGCGGATGATGTGACGACAACGAATCAAGTGCTTCTTCGGTGATACAGAGAAGCGATCTATTTTGCCAAAATTTTCCAAACGAACCGGACTTTTCCTCGAGGGAAAAACTCTTTTAACGATCCCTCGGCTTGTCGGGTCGGACGAGCTCTCCGTTCCTTTTCACCGGCCGTCATGGAAAACGCGCGGCGTTTCTCTTTTTTCTTAGCTCCAACGGATTTTCGCGATAACGAGGCCTCGTCGTCGCCGATAACAACGACGTCGAATCATCGTATTAATAACGCTGACGCGGGCCCGGGTCAAGGAGGAGAGGCGAAGATAAAAGGCGCGGATATTAATAACCCGAACCCGGCCGAATCATCGAGATTGATTAAAGAATTATCGCGACCGAAACGTTCGCGATGGAACGTTGGATGGAAGAGGATTCTCGTCGCAGCGAGAGTAGAGGAGAATTTTCTTTTCCCTTTTGCTAGATGGTTTCTTTCGCCGCGTGCAAGATAACCGCAGATTGGCCCTTTATTATCGTGTGAATTAATCGTGTTAGCAAGGCTAGTAGTAGTACGCGAGGTTCGTCGAGGTAGAGCTCGATCGATAGAGTCGAATCGATAGAATCCTAGGCGTCCCGACGATCGTGATCGTGCCTCTCTATAATTTTTTGCACCTTTATACCACGTGACGAGAGAGAAAGTGAGAGAGAGAGAGAGAGAGAACGATCAACGCCCGATTTGCTTCTTCCCGAATCTTTTGTAAAACGATGTGATAACGATCCCCTCCCTCCCCTTAAATTATCGTACGTGTGTATATCGTGTGTATTCATTGTATCGTGCTCTGTAAGGGGCTCTCAGAAAAGGCGAACCGATCGTTTTGAGCTTGAACGGAAATCTTGATACATATCTCGAAGATACGGATGATCGCACTATCCTGATGATCACGACGATATATATGCATGTGTATTTTATGCATATATATACTTTTTCGTTGTAATATTGTTCTTGGATACACGATTCGATCTGATTTTTAATTTTCGCTGCAGGCGGTTTCTCCAAAAAATGGTTTCGCTCGAGAAAGATCGTCACCGGCCGCTGCAACGAGTTGTTTCGACGGTGTTTATTGAAGAAAAAAAAAGAAAAAATTGACGATAAAATATCGATGCTACGTTTCCAGAGAAAGATACTTGAATCGCTCGTCGAGAGGCATCGTCTGTGCACAGCGACTATTGTCGCTCGTATAGAAAGGGTTAAACGTTGATTCGTAAGTTTTTTCGTGCGTGTTCAACAATTGAACGATTGAGAAGAAATCGTCGCGAGAGAAAATCGTATATATTTGTTGTTGTATAGTTTTGCGTGACCCGTGTTTTCAGGATGAATTTTCGTAACGTTTCTATTTAGAGGAATTAGTCGATTTCGATGGGTGGAGCTCAAAACGATGGGTGCTCGTGTTCCTCTTGCCAATGTACACTTTTATCCTTAACGGTCCCTTCGACTTCCGCTACGTGTAATTCTTATCGACCGCCACCGCCGTAATACGAGACGATATTTTCTCAACGCTGTACGGGAAACATATCAGAAAACGGGGAAAATTCTTGCGATAATAATTGGTCGCATAAGTTTTTTCGATCACCGGGCGAATTTTCCTGTATTTGACGCATGTAATGACGAGAGGAATTGATATCGAGAAATTTATTATTCATAATAATAAATGGTTCCTATTCGTAGAAAATATCGTGTCCGATTATGATGTATTTGGATCGGGTTCGGTCGAGGAAGAAGTCGCTAATTAGAAAGAAGCGCAAACAACCGAAGTTATTCCTTTTTTTCGTTTATATCTTGGAGCAGCGCAAAACTTCGTGATTTCGTTCGTCGGTTCGGTGTTCTCGTGGCCTTCTCGTCCCTTCTACTACCATTCCTTCCCTTTCGCCATTTTTCGCGCAAACTTTCCACAAATCCTTCGTAACATTTCTCTCTCCAACTTTTTCCTTCGTAAAAAGAAAAACATCTCTCTCTCTCTCTCTCTTTCTCTTTTCACCACCTTGTTGTTCTTCCCTTTCGCGAAAATCACTTCGATTCGAGGAAATCTCGTTGAAAGTCGGGATACATTTACATTCGCGTCTCGACAAGAAGAGAGCTTCCCCGTCTCGTGAATCAAGAGAGAGGACAGGAAAGAGAGAGAAAGAGAGAGAAAAGAAACGGTTAAAATCGAATTTAACGTTTAAAGTTTCGACGGATACAAAAGCGGGCGATATTTTTATTCAAAATAAAGAGGATGTGAAAATGAATCGTGTGTGAGAGAGAGAGAGAGAAAGAATTTTCCCGTAGAAAAAGAAGAGGAGGGATAAGAGAAGCGTAACTTCACGTCACGGGAAAATCTGACCTGTTTTATTTCCGAAATAGACGAAGAGAAGAAATGGGAATGGGGGCGTAGCAAAGTCGGACGAGATAATTTGACTGGTTATTTATTGGGGTGCGCGGATCGATATTAGGCTGGGAGACACGAGAGGGCAACATGAGACCGGAAATCGTGGTTTGCGGGCAACGATACGTTCGAAACAACGACCCTGCTGTGACGGAAGTAGCCGGATCGAAAATGTTTCTCGTAGGGAAAAAAGGGAAAAAAAAAGAAAAAAGGAATGGAAAATTCGAACTTGGTCTCGTCGTAAATCAAGACGCGCGGAAACGAGTCGAGTTGCTTCGAGAAAAGTTTTCAACTTTTCTTCCTAATTTTCTTCCGTTTGTTCTAGTTTATCGATTATTTGTTACGTGTTGTGAGAAAGTTTACGTCGTTGATCTTTTAATCGTTCGATCTTTATTCAGATCTTTATTTATCTTTGAAAGAATCTTGGAAAGATTCGATATATATATATCGACGAGGGAATTGTTTTTCGATTCTTCTTGGTTTTTTTTTTTCTTTTCCTTTTTCTTTTTCTTTTCTTCTCCAAACCGAGTAAAAATTTTTCGAAACCATTCCTCTCTTCGAACGGGATTGTCACCTGGAAGGAGTTGGGAATCGATAAAGGTTGCAATGAGTCACGTCCGGACACGGCGCCGTGCAATTTATCGTCGAGGGAAACCGCGAGGCAGCCTGGTCACGCAATTTTTGAATATTTATTTTAAAATTGCAACGATAAAAGACGGGGGGGATGGACGGGTATGGCACAACGATTGGATCGATGTATCCTGTGGGGGGAAAGAAAGGGGGGAAATGTGAGCGGAAATCGCGTTATCGATGACACGGAAAAAGTAAGCGAAAGGAGGAGGAGAGAGATAAAGGGGCATCAAAGAGATGCACGAAACCCCGTATTTCTCGAGGAAATAGGAAACGATGTCGCGTAGATGACGCGTATTATATCGGATATCGGCCACCATGTTTTCTACGAAAACGGGCGAAACTCGTTCCATTTCCTTCCGGATTATTATTTTCCTCGGAGAGCTAAAACGTAGTTTTTTTTTTTTTTTATTTTCTCCTCTAAGCGTAGAAAAATATCAATATTCGCGCTATGAATATTTACGTCGTTTTTTCGAGCGTTTTTGCAGCTCGATCCTCGTAAAAAAAAAAAAAAAAAAAAAAAAAAAGAAAAGAAACAACCCGTCGAAATGGCAAATAACGAAAACGCAACATTTTCAAAGCGAGCTAGGCGATCGATGCTAAAAACGAGGATGAAATTGGTGGAGAAAAGGTATAGGACGGGGAGCGCATCCAGAGAACGGAACCAGTTTCTTCACACTTTGTTGCTCGAAGGAACGACTCCTTCGCGGATTACATACTTCCTACGACTCGCGTCGCGTTCCGGAATGCGTTGAAAATGCATCGATAGAACGATCTCGAGCGCACGTTTGCGCTTCCTTCCAGTTCTCCCTCCTCCTTCCCTCCCCCCAATCCACTTCCTTCTCTCCATTTGCTTTTCGATTCCTTCTTTCGAATCCCGTCTCGAAATATTCGGACGAGATATATTATCCCTCTCTCCTGTTGGCGGGCAACCTCCTTAAATAGTGGGAACTTTCCTCTCTCTGCCCACGTCCCACTTGCGCGGCGCCGCCTTAACCCAGTTGCAGACCAACTTCCGGTGGCACCGATCGCCCACCACCGACAACTTAATTACCACGGCCTCTAATTACCGTGTCCTCCCGGTCCTCGACTGACTTAGAAGGGCGTCGCGACGAGAGCACGCGATCCGGTTGTGCGTCAGATTGTGTGTGTGAGAGTGTGTGAGAAACGAGGCGAGAGAGAGAGAGAGAGAGACGGGTAACGAAAAAATAAAATTTTGTATTGTACACACGACTGTAACACGAGTGTCGATGCTAGTCGAGCCGAGAATTATTAATTTCGGGGAACCAAGAGAGCGGTGAACAAACGAGTACGTGTAACGTACGCCAAAAAAAAATAATATATATATATATATATAAAGCGTTTATACTTGTAAGAACATTGTAAATAGGCAATTGCAGGCTGTAAGGATTTTCGTAGGATTTCCTCGCAGCGTGGAAAACCTGTTGGCTCGGCTCGGACAAATTTCTTTTTAAAACGAGTGTTGTTCATTTTTCGAGGTTGAACGTTCTTTGTAGTTTCGATAGTTTATTCCGATGTTGTTTCGTTGAGAGAGAGAGAGAGAGAGAAAAAAGAGGGAGAATGATTAGAAGTGATTCAAGATTAAGAATCTTGGTAAGGAAATTTTGTTTTTGTCGAAAATCGAATTTTGATTTTCGTGCGTGATTGGCGAATTTCGATTGATCGGTACGCGGAGGAAAGGAGAGACTTTTTCGAGATGTTCTGGATATCTGGAAATAGTAAAATTGAATAACTTAGATAGCTAATTGTTTAATTAACTAGCGAGGAGAAGTTGAATTTGCGGAAGTGATACTTGGTTCCGTTCGACGGAACGTGGATAACGGATTAGAACGATTAATCATCGGCCAGAAGCGCGATGATTAAGAGCGACTGATCGACATATCAGTATAATAATAATAATCATTGTACGATTATAATTTAAAGGAATAAATTTATCCGATCCGAGATGCCGAAGTTTTCCACGCTTAGAAAAAAAAAAATGAAAAAAAGAAAAAAAGAAAAAAAAAAGAAAAGAAAGAAAAAAGAAGGAAATCGACCAATGTCTGTCGAGTATGATTGTTGTTTTTTATATCGACTGTCGTTCAAAAAAATTCTATTGTATACTAATACTTGCCCTTGTTGTGTTTTATTACCATTCGATATTTTATCTCGTGCTTCTCGATCGAACGATAGATCGCAATATTTGTGTAATAATTAAACACGGCTAACCGTAGCGAACGATTAAGATGGGAGAAAAGAACGAGGAGAATT